TCCTCATTAAATCCTCCTAAAGAATGAGACACGACAAGCCATAAAAGACCAGAAGATCAGTGAGTTTCCGAAAGATCAGTGGGTTTCCAAAAACATATCCGCCCTGCGCCTTTCTGAAAGGCCAAGCTCCTTCTAACTTCACCCTTACCAGCATCAAAGGATGCCGGGGAAACCAGGCAGCTCTTGGGGGAGTAGCTTGCAAACAACCTTATGGAATGAACTTGTAGGAGAACCAAAAGGTGGACGTCTTCAAGCCAGACCAATCTTAACTGTACAGAATATGGGCCAATTCCTCTTCAGAGTTTCATAAGGGAGTATGGGACATAAGGTCAGGCCGCAGATTCCTCATGTTGCTTCTAGACTCTAGCAGTCTGCGTGAGCAATACCTGTCGGGGCTGGAAAGTCAAACGCAGTCAGTCGTATAGACAGAAAACAGTGGTTTTGTGCATGCATAACTAAAGAACCCGAACACGTGCATTGCCCATCAGCAACATCTTCCTGTTTTCATATCAAGCTGTACGACTTGCTCATTCATCTCAAGGCCATTCACAAACAGAAGCTGCGCTAAATGTCTCCTTTATCCAAGTAGCAAAAAAAAAAAATACTTGCCCAGTGACACCACAGAAAAAGGAATGGACACCTACAAATACACCCTCGCAAGACGAAAAATTTTCAAAGTCTGTAAAAATTGTCATAGTTTCAGTTTTTCCTGTTCCCAGCAGGGCTAACCAGGTTTCTACCTGTTATGCATCCCAGCTGTCTGCTGAACAGGCTGCACAGTTGCTCACCGTTGATGTTGACAATCAAACGTTTAGTGGGCCAGAAAGTGGGACAAGCTTCAACGGGGGAGACTGAGAGCCAGTCTCAGCCTAGCTAGGGGAGGTTAGAGCTCTCCCTGTCGGCTGTTGTGCTCTCTTGTTTCACCAAATCAGCCTATTCTGGGGGCAAATCGTTTGTCAAAAAGGTCACACGTGGACACCTCTCCCCTCTGCTCTGGCAGGTCCCAAAGTCTCCTCGGAGCAGTTTCTCAGCAAGCTTTCCAAGCCCTTGAAACACAGAGGAGAAGCTATCGGTGTCAAAGGCTCAGCCAGAGCAGCGCAGCAGGTATGAGTGGACTCCCCCAAACACCCACAGGATGAGGCCCGGCAGCAATTCCCTGGGCCCAGCGCCCTGCACAAGCACTGGCTCCCCCCTCCTCAGGCCTCTCTCAGCTCTGCATAGCCTCCTCCTCCCAGAGAGGCTCCACCAGAGCACACGTGGCACTTTGGCACCTGCTCCTGGGTTTTCCTGGCACTGGTTGCTCTCTGTGCAGAGCAGGCAGCGGTGACGCTCACCTGGTTTGGTTTCAGGGCTCTGGTGGGATGCGGAGCAGCAAAGAGATCCTGGTGGAGACACCCAGGCTGTCTGCCCTGGAGAGGTACAGGCACGGCCCCCTGACCCCTGCCCTGTCGGGCTCTCATCTTCCTCCTATTTCATCACTGCGGGTTTATTTCAGGGGTTTCAGTTGAGGAAGTAAATGGACTTGCCCCTTTTATACCTCAGAAATAATTAGAAAAAAAGGCCAAGTCTGGTCTTTTGGGAAGACCACTGAATTGTTCATGGTAAACCTGCCATCTTTTACATCTCTAACAAAAGCTTCTGTTGTTCAAAATGTTACTTACTTATTGCTGTGAAATACTTTTCCTGACAGCAAGCCAAGGCCTAAGAGTTTGAAACCATCTAAGAAGCTGTTTGCGGTCATGTTAAATGGGAGAATCCCTCCAGGAAACCGATGCCCAAGTGGGAGGTCACACTAACAGCACTTTTCCACTCATAGTCTTCTGGCAAGAGAAGACCCAAATAGCTAATGAAAAAAACCCCAAGCAGATTATTTTTAATCAAAGAAGTAGGGCAAAGTACTTACCAGACAGCCCTGATCTAAAATGAAAAAGCTAAAAAAGGTCAGCAACCCTCTTTTCAAGGCACCTTTAAGCAGGGAAAGCAAAGCAGCGGTTTGGTCCGTGGGTCGGTCTGCTCGCCCGCAGTCAGACCGGGCCTCGTTCATCTCAAGGACGTTCCCAAACGCGAAACACCTCTCCCCTGTTCGGATCACCCTGGCAGCCCGGGGGTCTGCCCATTGAGTAGAGCGCAGACTCTGCCGCCAGCAGAGCCCTCACTCCTCAGCTGACGAGGTTTTCTGACCTCCAGGGTGAAGGCAGCTGAAGAGGCTGAAGCTTTTGCCCCTGATATCTGCACTCTCCGCATCAAATCCGAGAGCGGGGAGCAGACGTACACTGTAAAAATGCTGTTCACGGAGACCATAGGGGACCTGCGCCAACACCTCGCCCACGCCAGGTAGGCCTGGGACTTCCTCCCCTCCTCGCTCCCCACCCGGCTCCGTCAAGCCCCAGGGAAGGTTGCCCCAAGCCCTTGCCGCTCAAGGGCTGAGGGTTACAGTCCTAGCCCCAGGAGCCGCTGGGCACCCTCTGCTGCTTTGGCTCCACCACCCGAGATGCTCTCTGGGCAGCGCTGCCAGGGTCACGCTTAGCTCAGAGCATTTAATACCCACCTTTCCCAAAAAAGCGACACAGCAGCAGAGGTAAGTCTCTTTTGTCCCCTCAAAATTGCCATCTGACCCAGGTCCATCACTGCCTTTGCTTCCAGCTGTTCAGCAGCACTCACCCGACTATTGCCACTGTTGGTGCAGCCTGGAAGCTGAGCTGCAGCCTTCAGCTTGGCCGATGGATCCGCTGCTGGACAAACACCCCCCTTTGGCTCAGCCGGCTCTATATCCCAACGCATTTAATGCTGCCCAAGGTCTCACACGTCCCTTTGGGGACAGTTCCAAATGGCTGAGGGGACCCCTTTGCTCTCCCCTCTTCCCACTCCTGTTGCGGGCCGTAACTCTGGCGTCGGTCTGAGCCTGCTGCTGTTGGGATGCAAGAGCCTCCTTCCCCACTGCAGCTGCGCAGCCTGGAACGGCCGCTCTGTGCCTGGCTGCTCGCAGTTCGGGCGGGAAGCCCTTTTTTCTGCTCAGCCTGTGCTTGTGAAACAGTCTCTCCCTCTGCTCTTGCATAACCACAGCTGGATCAGCCAGAGCATCTCAGCAAAACCTTGGGGGATCCTGTGTGTAGGAAAGATTGTGCTGTTCTTTCCTAGGGGTGGAGACTCCAACTCGTATGAGATCATCAGTACCTTTCCCCAGAGGGTGTACGCAGACAACTCCAGGAGCCTGCAGGAATGTGGCCTGATCCCCAGTGCCTCGTTGCTGCTGCGGAGAAGAGACCCCTCCCAACAAGAGGGGAAAGAGCTGCAAACAGCTTAACAGCTCCTAGCAAGAGCTGCTCGCCCCAAGCTCTGCAGGAGGAAGGAGCTGCTTTGCACCGTTAGCCGTGTTATAATCTCCCCTGGGTGGGAAGAGAGGAGAAGGGTGTCTTTCCAGATTTAGTTTCATTGCGCCGTTACCAGGGATGGAGAGAAGAGCTCAGAGGCAGCGGGGTTTGGCCTCTCCCTTTGGCAGAGGGTACCAGGCCCAGCCCTGCTGCCTCACGGGGGGATGATTTTCCCCAAGACAGGAGGTGGGCTCCTAACACAGGGGCATTTCTGTCAGCTCAAACCCGAGGCCTGGTTTCTCGTCTCCGCTGAAGGTTACACGGGCTGATCGCTCCCCGGGGAAGGCCGCCAGCTTTACACTGGTACTGAGCAGTTGCTTAGCTGGGCTCAAGGATTCTCTATAGCAGCAGGACAGACAAACGGCCAGGGTCAATTTGCTTTCCACACACAGCTGCTCCCCAGAGACTTCAACTGCACTTACACCACAAGAGAAACAGGCTCAGTTATATGGCCCCTGGTGAAGCTAAACCAAAAGGCCTCGAGCCATTGCAGCGCTGGGACCGAGCCAGACTCATCTCAGCCAGGAGATCCTGCTACTGGGTTTCCTGTACGTGAACAACTCCTTCCCTTGGACAGCCCCCAGCTCCAGCGGGGCCCAGGCTCGCAGCCACGCCGAGCCCGCCTGCAACAGCCCTGAGCTGCCAGCCTCCCTCCCTCCCTCCCTCCCTGGGCAGCCTGCTGCAGCCGGGAGCTGGATGCTGCAACAGGACACCGTGTCATTGGAGAAGAGCATAATCCCTTCGCTGCTTCTCTGCTGATCCCCGAGTAAAGCATCTTCCTCCCTCTCCCGTGGGCTGGGGCCGCGCTTTGCAGGCCCCTTTCCCCAGCACATTCTTCCTGTTTCAGCTGTGACAAGCTCCCACTTGACTCCCAGCTGACGACACTCCCACTTGTGCAAGGCAGCGCCTTCTGGCAGGTTCCCTTTCAGCAAAGGCCCTGCACATGCTGCCACCCAGCCCTCGTTAAAGGCTCCCAGTAAAACCATTTATTTAAGTTGCAGTTTCCGCTTCCATTAAGATTTCAAAGGCGCAGCTGGCTGTGGAAGGGGGGCAGGATGCCCAGAGCACTTCCCGGACCCCTCCGACCAGAGCTGCGCCCTGCACAACTCAAATACAGGAAGCACCACTCATGCAAACCAGCCGCTTCCACGGGCTCCCTGGGACCACTGACTCAGTCCCCGCAGCTCCGAGTTAGTTTCCTCCCTTTTCCACCTATAGCAGATACAGGAGCGTCCAGGGGACCCTCCTATAGGGCAGCCTGTTCCACTGCCCCTCTATATCCTGGTCTATAACCGACCAGGTAATCTTTGTGCCAGCGGTTCGGTTTTCGCTCACGTGTCTGGCTGAAGCTGTCCCTCCCCCGGGCTGCCGTTCTTACCACGCAGAGGAGAAGAATGCTGGAGAGAGGTACCTGTCACTACCGCGCTGCAGGATATTCAGACAAGTCCTGTGAGCCTTTGATTAGCGGCAGCAACCTAAGGCGTTAGGATCTTTGTGTCAGGCTGCAGCAGCGAGTACAACTGACTCAGCTTCTCTGAGCTGGAAATGACTCAGAATCATTACGTAGGGTGATGTTTAACCTGTAGTCAAAATAAAACCAAATTTAAAAGAAACCCACGAATACCGACGTGAAAGGTACAGTAACATTTAATAGCATCTCGGAAGACAACACTGGTTATAAACTTGCTTTTTTGGCAGGAAAACAAAATGCACTTGGTCCAGGTTGCAAAAAAGCCAACACAAAGAGGAAAGATAAGACAGCTGGAGCATCAGCTGTTCTGGAGCAGCCCTGAGCCATTAACGCTCACGAGGGAGCCCTGGCACCACATCGCGGCGGAGGGCAGACGGGGCAGCGCGGATCCCGCTTCTAGGCCCATCCATCCCCCCCAGGCAGCCTGCCGAGTGACACCGGCCCTCGCCCCCAGCCCCGGCCTTCTCCGCAGCGGGTGGTCAGACCCCAGCTTTGTGCAGTATTTTTGCATTAAAACAAAACGAACAGAAATCAACTTAGTTGCCTTAATCTCTGCAGTTGAGATGAAGAAAAAAAAAAAATAAAGGAAGTGAGGCAGCAGGATTTACAATTTTAACAGCAACTGGGAGAAGTGGGAAGTAACATGCAACCCTAAGCCCTTCCCTCCTGAAGCAGAGGCTCTCCCTGCAGAGAGGGCCGACGGACGGCTGCACTTCGCACAGCCCCAGAGGCTTTGCTGTTTACAGAGGCACTGGAAGCTGCGGTGTGAGCCAGGCCCAGCGTTGTTCAAAGGCCATGCGCAGCGAGCATCGGACTTTCTTTGGATCCCTCTGAGGTGATATCAGGGTTAGGCAGGAGGGGATCGTAGGCAGCTGCAATGAGTAGTTTTGGTCGTGGGTTTCCCTATGCTGGGACACAGGTCGCGGTGCCAGGACAGCGCTGACAACCTGGAAGTGAAGGTGGTCGGAGATGAGGGTGCTCAGGAATGCAGGTAGAGTCCAGGACGGGAGGGGAGCCCAGGGCTCAGGCCAGCTTCAAGAACTCCTGCAGAGTGTTTTGCTCCACCGCTTCCACAAAGAGCTCGTAATCCTGCAGGGAAAAGCCACACGGTCGCTCACAAGGCAAGAGCGAGCTGTACGCTCCCGCCGGTCAGGCGGCACAGGGTCCCCTGAGCCCACAGCACAAACTGGTTCACAACACGGGCGACAGTCACACGGAGGACGACAGGGTGAAGCCGGGACAGCCCCACACAGCCCAGCCCCGCTGCCCACCGTCACCCAGAGTCCCCCTGCCTGGGTCCCGCTTTTCACAAGCCACCGTGCTCCAAATGCCCGTTAACCCTGGCAGCGCCTTGTCCGTGCACCTCACGAGAAATGCCTTTTGAAAGGCGCCTTGACACCATTTGTAGCAAAAACAAGGGGACGGGATTATTGCCCACCACCCAACCTCCAGGGTGCTTATCCCCAGCGCAGAGCATGAGCCTTACCCCGCAGTAGTGGTCTCCGTTGACGATCTGGGGTGGGATGGCTTTGGGGTTGCCTGCCTTCGCCCTCATCTCCTCCCGGAGAGCATTGTCCTGGGAGATATCCACCAGCTCGTACTTGATGTTCTTCCCATCGAGGATTCTGGTTACTTCGCTCTGTTGGGATTTGATCTGGAACCCGGGTGGGAAAGGCAGGTTATGGGGAGCTGGAGAGGAGCCCGAAGGATGGGCACACACCCCAGCGTGCCAGCCGCGCTCAGCACAGCGCTCAGCACAGTGCTCACAGAGCGACCGCTCCTTACGGGCCACGGTCCAGACCCCACCTGGCCGCGGGGCTCGGCTCTGCGCTGGCGGGGGGACAGACGGGACACCCAGGACGGCGATTCGGGGGAAAAAGGGGACGGGGCAGCGTGAGCAGGGGAGGGGACACCTGGGATGGGGCGGGGGG